TCAGATAAGGACAGTGTCCTGCCTATCAGGGCAGCCACCAGAGGAGGGGCTCTCCTTGAGAGAACAGGGTCCAGGTGGCTTATTGAATGAGAACCCCACCCAAGCACAATGTCCATTTTGTCAGGGCGGCTGTTTTGAGACAATTATTCATTTCGGCACTCTACACCAACAAACCCAAAACCCACCAAATCTGAGGCAATGATGTTCAAACAAATTCAATGTGTTTCTGATCAAGCAACTTCCTTTGTATTAAGTCACCTGGTGTAATTGGGGCAGCAGAGATAAAATAGCTCCAAAATACATAAATGTCTTCATTGAATGCATTAAACTTGTAAGGTTTTTTGATGCAATTTCTGCTTTTGATCTTAGGGCCTTTCAGTTATCTTGATGATGTCCCATTTAAGATAGGAGACAAATTCAAAACCCCAGCAAGGGTTGGATTACCCATTGGTTTCTGCATGCCTGACACTTCTCAGCTTGTCAGAGAAGCCTGGGTAAGTAGTATTTTGACTTTCTCCTCTATTCCCTCTTACTTCTGGTCCCCAACATGTGATGCTGTAAATTGCAAGTAGTCACTGATTCAAAATGTTAGTCTTGTTGGTCCTGTAGTGTAATTTTTTTTTCCATGCAGTAGTTGCAGATCTGTTAGAATGCATAGAAAAATAAAAATATTATCTGCTTTTTCAGAAAGATTCTACTTCCTATAGCTTTAAAAAGCCTAATAGCATTTATTTTAGTGCATCTATTTCAAAAAACTACAATGTTTTTGTGTAATAGTTATAGGTCTAAATGTTACCCTGACTGAATTTGAGTAGCATTTTAAGAGGAAAAATGCTAAGAATAGCCATGCTATGCCATACTTGCAGAGTCTTGTTTGAGGATAACAACTGTTTCTATGACCATATTTTATGGGTTCTCACAATAGTGGGATGAGGAAATACATTTCCAGTTCTTGTTTTCTGTGTGGCTCTGAGTGGGAATTTTTTTCCAGGTGTAGGGCAAACAAGTTACTGTTTGGTGCAGATGACTTCCAGGTCTTTGAGGAGCATAGTTCTACTACCATAAATTCTTGGTAGCATAAAATCAATTGCTTTAGCATAAATGTTGAAAATTAATCTCCAAATGCTGATTGTGAATACAGGAAATCTGATTGAACTATGTTTTCTCATTTGGATCCATGATTTTCCTTGGTCAGTCCAAACTGATGATTGTTTTCACTTCAGCTGTGTGGTTTTTTGTGGTTTTTTTTTTCCTGCCCTGCAACTCATCCCTGAGAGAGCTGAATATCTGAATTACCCTACATCATGGCATCATGGCTTTTTCATTATAACCATTTCTGTTGGGTCAGTGTGGTGGGCCTTTGGTAGTGGGGGAGGGGCCACAAGGGTGGCTCCTGTGAGAAGCTGCTGGAAGCTTCCCTGACTCCAAAAATCCAGCCCTGCCTCTGGCCAAGGCCAGGCCCATCAGCAATGGTGGATGTGTCTCTGCAAGTAACATATTCAAGAAGGGGAAAATGAAATTGCAATAAGAGCTGCAGGGCAGGAGAGGGGGAGTTGAGAGCAATGCTGGAGCAGAGATACTAAGGACAGTGAGAAAGGAGAGGGAGGAGGTTCCCCCTGCCCATGACCATAACTGGTGAGTGACCCACGAGCTTTTTAGTTGAATTCTCTCCTCCCCATTCCTCCCCATCCCACAGTGGGGGGAGGGGTGAGCAAGTGGATGGGTGGTTCTTTGTTGCCAGCTGGGCCTAAACCACAACACTGTTAAATGGTTACCTGATTGACCCAATACACATATTTCCATCAAAGTAAGCTGGTGTGGGAGAGCTAAAGGAGACTAATGTCCTATTGCTGGCTTAATTGTGTTATGTCTCCATTTTCCTGCCAAGTTGAGACTTGAGTATAGTATGCCCAATTGGACTGCAGCACCTTACATAATATGATGTGACTATATAGACTATGCATCTCACAGTGCAATTTGACTTCTTTACAGCTGTAGTGAGACCTGTTAAAAAAAAAAGGGGGGGAGGGAGGGGCAGGAAAGCAAAATTGCCCAAAGCCATGTTTTTATATAAAAACCTCCCATTTTTTTTAATATAAAAAAACCTGCTTGGGTCAATTTTGGTGTCTCTATATATAACCATATACACACACACACAAAACTATGATAGCTCTGCTCAGATTGCAAAGAATGTGTAATGAGTAGTGTCCAGCACTTCTGCCAGTGAGTTGTTTTTCAAAGTCACCTTGCTGATAAATTGTGTATCACACCTCTTGAGTCTTAGAGCTAAGGGAAGGGAAAACTTATACAGCTGAAACAACAGGTCTCTAGGATCTCACTGGAGCCTATTATAGGATAGGATATGATGCAACACATAGTGAATCCCAGAAAAGCCTAGTGGAAGCCTAGCAAGCCTTGCTGGCTTGTTGCTCTTCAGATCTAGGAATTTGTATGACCTAGCAGTTCCATGGCAAGAGCACTCCTGTTTGGTTATGTGCCATTATTCTGGCAAGGATATATCTTATGACTTCTTGTGAGTCATGGTGGTAGGTTATGCCCTGGACTTAACTTGTAGGCTGTGTTCTTTGAATATTTTGTGGTTCTTTAAATAGTATTTTAGGCTGTTAATCCTTCATAAGATATTAAAGCTTTGAGTAGATTTAATCTATTCAGAATTTTGTCCTCTCAACCAGGCCACTATGGTGGCCAGTAAACTGGTAGTGAGTAGCTTACAAATGCCTTCCTTTGCTAACCTGGCCCTGAAAGAGCTGATGTTACATGAGAGAAGCTTGTGGGATCTTGTCATGTCAGTAACTGCAGCAAAATCTGCTACTGCAGGTAGTTGTCATCATTGATGTAGCTTGTGGACAGGGGGGTAGTTCAGTGGTTCTGGGTGTGATCGTCCATCTAGTAACATGTTGTTTTGGGGTAAGAGGGTGGGAGGTCTGTGAAAATTGATCTTGGGATAATCAGTAGCTCTAAAGCAAAACTAAATGTAGGAAGGAGGCAAAATATTATTTTTTAATCCAGACTATAGATTTTGCTGCTAGAGGCAAAATTAACTACTTCTGGTAGCTTTGCCAGTCTGTGGGTTACAAGAGATGCTGGGGAAAAAAATTATGCCTGTCCTTTGTTATTCATGTAGCTCTTGTTCTATGTTACTTATGTTGCTGTTAAAGTAGTGGCTATGATCCTTATAATCTATCTTTTTTTTTTTCTCCTTTCCCCTTCACCCTTGGTCAGTATGACTTCTCACTGGAAAAGAAAACAATTGAGTGGGGTGAAGATATAAAAAAAATTGAAGCTGCCCAGAGAGAAGCTGAACGAAAGGCAGAAGAAGCCCTAGTGAACTCAAAGGCAGCTCCAGAGGACAGTAACAAAATGGAGTTCTCAAAGGGACTTTGCCCTGAAGTTATGCCTCCTCCTATTAACCCCATCCTCGCTAGCCTGCAGCACAATAATATTCTTACTCCCACGCCAGCTGACAACAGTGCTGTGAAGCAAAAGATTCTCAGTCCACCTCATCCAAAAGCAGACTTCAACCCAGCTGATTTTGAATGTGAAGATGACCCATTTGACAAACTGGAATTAAAAACTATTGATGATAAGGAGGAATTAAAAAATATTCTTGAAATTCATGTTGGTACTACTGGGCCAGTTGTTGCCCAGCTGTTAGATAATACTTTGGCCAAAGGAGGGTCTGAGTCTGTGCTACGAGATGAGGAAGTTCTGGCATCCATAGAAAAGGCCACGTTGGACTTCAAGCCCCTTCACAAACCCAATGGCTTTATCACTTTACCACAGTTGGGAAACTGTGAAAAGATGTCCTTGTCTTCCAAAGCATCCCTGTCCCCTATCACTTCAGTGAACAATATAAAATCCCTGTCCTTTCCTAAACTTGACTCCGATGAGAATGGCCAAAAATCATCAAAGCTCAGAAGCACTTTCCACAGCACTACCTGTCTCCACAATGGCTCTTTTCTCAGCTCTTTGCAGACCTGTGCTCAAAGTAAAGCTAGTGAACTGAATGGACACCATATGGTTGGTCTTTCCAGTCTAAATGAGGACAGTGGCATGGAGGCATCAACATTATCCTCTTTATCCAGGCTGCCTTCCCAGGCTGTGTCAACAGTTTGTACGGAAGATAAATCATCATTTCCAAGCACAGCGACTATGGTAAACATGCAGTGGATTAGAATTGGGGTTGCTGGGGAGATGTGGAGGCACAGAGGCAAATGTTGCATCTAAATGTCCTGTGATTTTAGGTTCATTTAATGGGAGTGGTGTGTAGATAACATGTGGTAGTTCCTCTTCATTTACATGGCAAATTGATCAATCAAACAGGTCTTCATGCTGGCAGTTCTGAACCTTAGATTATTACACTGCAGTTTTTTTTCCCCAAATCTGATATTTTTAGACCAATTTTGGTGACTTTTCTTTCAGCTTTTTAGCTCTTGTTCATAGTTGCATGCCTTTGAGCTAAGCATATCTTATTTGTACAGTCCTGTATTCTGTCTTACCCAACTGAGATATATCAAATTTGGAACTGCTCTTAGATTTTGAGTTAAATCTCTGCTAGATGTATTTCTTGGCTTGCTTATTTGCTGGAAATAATGGGAAATGCAGGCTTTTCAAGGAAAAGAAGTAATAATAGTGTAGTGTCATTTGGGGAAGAAAAAAAGTGCTTGCAGTTGACCTGCAGTGAAATAATTGTCTTTTTTCTTTTTCTTCCTGAGATCCTTTTAAAATTAACCTTTTAAAGGATGAAAATAATGGTAGTCTGAAATCTGGTATTTACCCTCTTCCTTGTAAAGGAGGATGGAAGTATTGCTTTGTGAATACCAAGAGCAGTCTTGAGGATCATCTCGGATCACTGTTGTTACAGTTGGTTGCTGTACAGCTCCGAGACAGGAGTTTGTCGCTTCATTTCCTCAGACTTTTAGCAAGTTCTAAAATTACTTTGGGGACACTTAATTTCCCACCAGCTGTTGTCTTTGTCTCTTTGTGAATAAGAGCATGTCACCGTTTGACTCAAGTCCGAAAACAATGCTCTCGATCCCCTCCCCCTCCCACCCAGGTAGGGAAGGAGAGAGAGAAAAAGAGAGAGACTTGGCTGGATTGAAAACTCAACTACACAGCTTTAATTAAACACTAATGATATAAGAAAATATATACAATTATATACAAATATGTTCAGATACGTGCAGAAGCCTCTCACCTTGCCACCCCCAGCAACTCCCCCAGCACTCTCCTTAGCTGCAAACAGTCCTGAAAAATCCCAGATCTGCTGCTGGAGAAAGCACAGAGTGATGAGGGTCAGGAGATCTCGAGCCTGGGGGTCGACGGTGATGGATGGACGGAGTCCTCCCCAGACGCCGGCCATGGACGGAAGAGAAGGGAAGGAGAAGCAGGAAGGAAGTTGTCTTCTGGGATCTCTGACCTTCCTCTGAGCTTACATAGATATATGGAATGGAATATCTCTGGCCAGTTTTGCTGTCTGTCTAACTCAGCCTCCTATGGGAGGGTCATAGATCTCCCTGTAGTGTCTGAGCTGGCCGAGCGAAGGTGTGACCTTGGAGTCCTGACAATAATATAAACATTCCAGTGTTATCAGTCTCAGCTGGAACAATTGCTGCTGGTTAAAAGAAAGCTTACTGAAGGAAAAAAAATCAGCAAAAGTGGCTTCATCCTGGCTCAAACCAGGACATGTATGTAGGTTTTCGTGTGACACCATGAGCTCTGAAACAAGTGACATTGCTTCTCTCCTGTTGTGGTTTCTTTTTTCAGGCTTAGTTAAATGCATTATTAATTTTCAAAATATGGTATTCTGTCAACTAGTGTATTTGTCAAAGTACAATAGAACAGTTGGTAATTGATCACTGGAACAAATTTAATACAGTAAACTTTGGCAGAAGCAGCAATGCACTGAGCAACTGCTCACTGCTATGAATCACAGGTTTGAGAGGCGATTGTATCTAGCTCAGAGGTGAAACCTTGAAGTATGACACATCTCTAGAGATTTACATGAAAGATTGCTTACAAAACAAGATAGATGGAGCATTCAGATCACCAATTTTTTACTCTATTCGAATGTCTATGCTGGATTAAAACTTATTAAAGACTGTCATAGTTTAGATCCAGCTTGCATCTAAGCACCAGACAGCCACTCATTTGCCTGATGGGATGGGGAGGAGAATCAGAAGAAAGGTAAACATCATGGGTTGAGATAAGGACAGTTTACTAGGACAACAAAAGGAGAGAAGAAATAATAATAATACTAATAAAAGAATATATGAAATTAATATATTAATATCCCTTTGGCTAGTTTGGGTCAGCTATCCTGACTGTGTCCCCTCCCAGCTTCTTGTGAAAATTAACACTATCCCAGCTGAACCCAGGACAAAGACCAAGAGGGAAGATGTATTCTGAGAATGCTGTAAGATACAAACTGATAAACAAACAAAAAATAGTCTTAGTAAGAGAAGTAATAAAGATCTTCATTTGAAACTATTTCAACTTTGGAAGTAGCAAACCAAGAAATAGGTATGCTAACAGAACTAGTTCTTTTTGTTTCACTTCCAAGGCTTCGGAATATACTAGTTTCATATTTCCACAAAATGGTCCTAGTGGCTGGAAAATGACAGCTGAGCGGCAAGAAATTGAAGTGTAACAAAAATCCTCAAAAGTTTTTAAATTATATCAGGAAGTTGCAGCCATCCTTGTGGCTGGGAGCAGCAGGGGCATGTGACCCTTTTCTTCAAGATTACACCTTTCTAGAAAGTCTCAGGACAATTATATGTCCCAGTGTATTTCACAGTGACTTTTTTTTTTTTTCTAGCAGAACTAGAAATTATAACTTCAGAAGTTGTAGTTTATACTTTGCCAGTAAATTGGATCTAGGTTTTTTTGGATCAAAATAAACTTGTCATTTTTTTGAGGCTGCACTGATTCTGTCCTGGGTGGTCCCCTCTAAGGTTTTGGGATTTTTTTGAAGCTCACTGGTTTGCTTTTTTGCAGCATTGGCAAAGCACATGCTGAGAGCACCACACATGTGCTTCTTGAAGGGCACTGAAATGCAAGTTTGAGACATAAGGGAGTGTGGCTGCTGAGTGACCAGTCCTGGCTTTGTCCCGTGAAATTCCTGTAGGTGTTTCGCTCCTCTGCTGGAAATCACTGACCACAAGCACATGTTGTCAAGCTCAAGTACATTGAGGAGGAGTTGGTTTTTCTGGACTCTTGAATCTCTGGTTTCAGAAGCGGGTTTGGTTTTCGTGGCTGCAGCATCAATACCAAGGCATCATCCTTCAATTTGATAACCAGCTGATTTCAGGACTACTCCAGACTCCCATTTCAGTGTATCCCATATTCTAGTGCTTTTTGCTCTGGCAAAAGTGCTTGGAGGAAGGGTGTGTGTGAAGAGCTTTGGACCCCTCTACCACTATGAGAAGAGGTTCTTGGGTAAACCAGTCCATCAGATTGAACATGGTTTCTCAGGCTTTGTGTCCTACAAGATAAATTCTTACCCTGGAGATGAGAAGGTGCAGAAATGCAGAACAGTGTGTCCTTTTTCTCTTCCCCACCCCCCCATGGAATTTGCCAAAATCCTAATATATATTCTCAAAATTGTTTTTCTATAAACAGTTCTTTATTGCTATGGGGTTTGGGATTTATGCTTTGCTTTTTCCTGTGTGGGTTTTTTGTTTGGTTTTTGTTTTGTTTTAGTTTGGGCCCAAAGAAGACCTTTCTGAAAGAAGTGGATAAGCTTTAGAACAATCTATATTGGCTTAAAAGGGTATTAAGGAAAGGCAATCGAGGCTCTTGGTCCAAAGTAATTCCTTGCTGTCTTTTCTAATTTGATTTAAAATGCAGGAGGACTTTTAAATAGATTAATTGAAATGTGCAGATTTGAGGGGGCAAAATTCTGACTTAGCACTCCTGTTATCTTGGGCAAAGTAGTATAAAGCACTGGGTTGGTTCTGCCCTCTGGCAGCCTGGTTCTGCAGAAATGGAGCAGGTGTACACCAGGAAAAGTAACCCGGTCATATTGGTGTATTGGGAATGGGACCAAGTGTTGGTCAATGGTATAAAAATCACATGCTCTTTGTAGCTAGTGTACCACGTTGCTCATGTATTCCCATTGACTGCAAAAGGGGAAAAATAACCCCCATTTTTAAAAAGGGGAAAAAAGATGACCCAGGGAGCTACAAGCCAGTCAGTCTCATCTCTGTGCCTGGCAAGATCATGGAGCAGAACCTCCTGGAAACTATGCTAAGACACATGGAAAAGGAGGAGGTGATTGGTGACAGCCAAAATGGCTTCACTGAGGGAAAATCATGCCTGACTAATTTGGTAGCCTTTTATGATGGAGTCATAGCAACAGTGGACCAGGGGGAGAGCAACTGATGTCATCTACCTGGATGTGTGCAAAGGATTCGACACTGTCCTGCATGACATCCTGGTATCAAAATTGGAGAGACATGGACCTGATGGCTGGACCACTCAGTGGATAAGGAATTGGCTGGATGGTCATGCTCAAAGAGTTGCAGTCCATGATTCAATATCCAAATGGAGACCAGTGACAAGTGGCAATCATCGGGGGTTGGTACTGGGACAGGTGCTCTTTAACATTCTTGTCAGTGACATGGACAGTGGCATTGAGTGCACCCTCAGCAAGTTTGCTGACAACACCAAACTGTGTGGTGTGGTTGTCATGCTGGAGGGAAGGGATGCCATCCAGAGGGACCTTGACAGGCTGGAGAAGTGGGCTCGTGCAAACCTTGTGAAGTTCAACCAGGCCAAGTGCAAGGTTCTGCACCTGGTTCAGGGTAATCCCACGCACAAATACAGGCTGGGCGAAGAATGGATAGAGAGCAGCCCTGAGGGCTCCAGCAACCTCCTGTGTCACAGCCTGGAGCACAACACCCTGATGGGATGAGCCAGGTCTGAGCTGCAGGAGGGTGGGAGGGACACAGAGGGACTGCCCTCAACAGGAGGCCAAAGTCAGGCAACGAGTCCTAAGTGAGAAAGCCAACAAAATATAAATGCTTCCTCCCTTTCAGAGGTCAAGTTAGGACAGATTTTTCCCATGTGTGCCACATTTCAGCCACTAACCAGGCAAGCCTCTGGGATAAGCCTCCAATTCTGGAGCTCCAACACAAGGCCATGGAGCTGTTGGAGAGAGTCCAGAGGAGCCACAGAGATGATCCTTGGGCTGGAGCAGCTCTGCTCTGGAGACAGGCTGGGAGACTTGGGGTGTTCAGCCTGGAGAAGAGAAGGCTCCAGGGAGACCTTAGAGCACCTTCCAGTGCCTGAAGGGGCTCCAGGAAAGCTGGGGAGGGGCTTGGGACAAGGGCAGGGAGTGTTGGGATGAGGGGGAACAGTTTTAAGCTGAAAGAGGGGAGATGTAGATTAGATATTAGGAGGGAATTCTTTGCTGTGAAGCTGTGGCTGCCCCATCCCTGGCAGTGTTGAAGGGCAGGTTGGATGGGTCTTGGAGCAACCTGGTCTGGTGGGAGGTATCCCTGCCCATGCAGAGGGGTTGGAACTAGATGGTCTTTAAGGTCCTTCCCAACACAAACCATTCTATTATTCTATACATGGCATATGAAATGCAGTGCTTTGAGAGTAGATAAGGGGTATATATTTCTCCTACCCCTTCTCATGGTCAAAAAAATTCAAGGGAAGTCTCCAGCCAATTACTTAAAAGTTATCACTGTCATTCAGGCAGCATAGCACTGGGTCAAGAGCTGAACAGGAGCCTGTTACACTGAGCCGTATGAACATGTACCAGTCACAGCAACAGAATAAACAAACTTACAATTATTATGAGGGGGGACACATTTTTCTTGGAGTATAATTGTTTTTTGTAGAGTACTGAGAGAAGAAACAATCCTTATGATGGCTCTTTTATAACTACTCACAGCTGCATAACATCTGCATCTCACATGTGGAAGCCTGATCAGACCGCAAGTCTCTCTAGTATGGTAGACTTATTCAAAGGCTTCTCCCCCAGCTGTAGCAAATTCTGCTCATTAGTGCATAATGTTTATAGTAATCTTATTTGTGTGTTGTCCAGGTACACCCAGACTACAAGGAAACAGAAATCCCTGTGGTAAATTCCAAAATACCTGTGTGCTTGCGCTAGATCGTGTTTCTGAAAATCTCCAGAAGTAGTGTTCATTTGAGTACAGAAAATTATAGGTGATGAGTAAACTTGGGGTGAAGGAAGCAATCTTCATGCTTCCTCTGAGGTACAGAGTTTGGCTATATCATAAGGACCTTTACTGTTGCAAAGGTTTGGTATTGAAAGATTTTCATCCACTGGTAGGAGAGGGTATATTGTGAAGAATTGTGAAGAGTTGTTGATTGTTTTTTTAAGGGTAAAAAGAGTATGATGGGAGTTGGACTATGTGCACTGTTTTGTTTCATCCCAACAGTGAGTAACTTTCTAAAGGCAATCTAGAAAGCCTCTCGGATTAATTACATGGGATATGGGGATGCAGATGATGATCATCACCTCAGTCTCTGGGTTTTCCCCTTTAGGTAACGCACCAAAATTTCCTAGTGTCTAAAGTGCCCAATAACACCAGCTGCACAAAGCAGTTGGGTGGCCCCACTCCTGAAGTACAGCAGGTCCTCTCTGCTAGTGAAAGGCAGTGCATAGAGACAGTCGTCAACATGGGGTACTCGCCTGAGAACGTCCTGAAAGCCATGAAGAAGAAGGGACAGAACATAGACCAGGTAAGAGCTTGTGCAACGAAGAAACCCTTGATTGGATGCTGATTTTGCTGACACAACCTTGGGTTTGCAAAATGGATGGGGGGAATACTTGTATTCTAACAAGGCATTGCAGTCTGTAGCCACTGTGATATTAACCACTAGAGAAGTTGTCACCTGGCAGTAAAATGCTCTGATGAGGGACTGCTTTAGTCAGTCACACCTGTGGATGCTGAATCAAGAGCTGTGCTGAGCTTGGAACTGTAGTATCAAATGGAAAAAATGTCCCTTAGAAGGGTGGTTTTAAATCCTGCTGTATTTACAGGCTGTGTTCTTTTGCCTTCCTAGCATTACCTATCTAACATCTCAAAGCTGAGGACAGATAAATTTGGCAGCGATTTCTGGGCATGTAAGCTGGGATTTGCAGCTCACTCACCAGTATGCTGAATTGACCTTAAAAAGCTGACTGCTTTCAGATTGCATCAGCTCTTGTGACTGAGAGGAAGCTAAAATCTGATGCATCTTGACTGCTGGATCTACAGCTTCATTTTAAAAATTTATAGTATAAAAAGCACAGTTAAACTTCTGCCTTCTGCTCAGTGATCAGGCATGGAAGGCTAAACAGGCTTCTGAGACTGTTTTGACTAGTGTGGGAGATGATGTTCATGACTGGTTGAAGAGCACAGGAGGACAGAAGGGCTTGATTTTTTTCTCTGGACAGGCTCTTGCATCAAGAGCATCTTGATATTGTGCTCAGCTCTTCTGTGTGTACAGAGATGGTATTCAACCATGTGTTGCAAATGCCACTCTGCAAACTTAGTTTATTTTCTTCATTCCCCACAGGTTTTGGATTACCTGTTAGCACATGGAGAGCTTTGTGAGAAGGGCTTTGATCCACTTCTTGTTGAAGCAGCTTTGGAAATGCACCAGTGTTCAGAGGAGAAGGTGAGGGTGCGACGTGCTAAGGAATAGAGAGAATGTACTGTGATGGGGAATTCCAGCAGCAGTTTCCCTGGTTGATGTATTTCTGGCTTTTATGGTAATGCCTTGTTTCCAAAACTGACTGCTGAAGGACATCCTTGTGGTGATAAAGTGAATGTGTGTTAAAGCATTGGAATTCTTCTGCATTGCTTTATCACACTCACTTGCATCTATTTTTATGTGGACAGAATTTTTTTAAGACCCTGCTTATTCTGGTTGTAATGTTTTGAACCCAGAGTTCTCTTGTGGGTGAGGTGCTTGGTACAGAGACAGTTACTTTCAGAAGCGGCAAATTATCTTTCAAACCATGCCAGCTTGCCCTGACTGAATTTTCTCCCTTGTACAAACGCATCTACCTGGCTGCTCAGCAAGTTGGGTTAGTAGTGCTCTCTCTCTGAAAGAAGCTGGAATATATGTTTTTTTGGAGTCTGATTCTTTACTTCTTTACTTTTCTGATGCTTTACTAGCACCAAAAGTACAGAGGCAGGAGCAGGTAGCCAGGGCAGAGGACAGCATGATCTTTTAAAGTTTGCCAGCCTGTTGTGTGCCAATATGAAACCTTCTGAGGTGCAACCCAACCCTCCCAGACATATACATGCCTCCTGCCTTTCTTTGACTTAGTGATGAGTTTGCAAACAGAGGAAGAACACTGATGGGAGAAGTGACTGATTTAAAGAAATGCATTTTTTACTGGCTTAACCCCAAAATTGGAAATGGCTAATCTCCTGATTGTCCATTTCAACCTGGGTTTTTTTTTGTTTTGGTGTCTGCCCCCCCAAGTGGAGCAGAGGCCTTGTAAATGGCAGAGTAATCAGTAAATTCATTTCTTGTTACTTTATATTTTTCAAAGCTCCAGAAGGATCTTTGGTTGATGTTGGTAATATCGTACACGTGTCCAATAGGATTTGTGCTAATCTCCCAAGTTTGCCTTAGTTCTGCCATTTGATAGCAAGGGCTACTGTATTATTCCCAAAGTAACTTAAAAAAAATTCAGATGCAGCAGTAGCTGTTAGATGGGGGACCAGGGTGACATTAATCAGAGTCCAAATTAGGCCAGGCTGATAAATTTCTTACTGGGAGAGACACCCCCACAGACTGAGCTTTGATGCCCTTTGCTGAAGAGGTTTTTGGAGATTCAGGAATGAAAGTGAGGCTCCATGGGCTACTGTACCCAGAGCTCTGCCAACTCTTGTGTGAGTGGACTCTCTCCAAATGGAGCTGGAATGGGCTGTACTTGGTAGTAGGAATCTACCCCATGAGATGTCCAGTCGTTTAAGACTGGCTCTGTGCTAAACCTCCACTAAGCACTGATCGTCTTTTCTCTTTCAGATCACAGAACTTCTCCAACTAATGAGTCAATTTAAAGAAATGGGCTTTGAACTAAAAGACATTAAGGAGGTCTTATTACATAACAATGACCAACACAACGCTTTGGAAGATCTGATGGCCCGTGCAGGAGCCAGCTGAAAACACATTCCTAGATTCTTGGCATGCAGCAGAGCAGGTCCAGCTCCACCACCTTCACATCCAGTGTGACTTCTGTTGGCAGGAAGGAGTCCAGCTTTTCGCATATATGGAAAAGTGACTGAGCAAGCCTGCCCATGTGCATCGCTAGCATTTCTCTTTCCACTGAGAGCCAACTTTCTTTCTTAAATTAAATTTTTTAAGTGCCCTTTCCTAAGTTTCCATCTTGTCCATGGAGAGTTTAGACTGCTCAACCTCTACTGGAATTATACATAGGTAGAGACAGGAGTGATTTCTCCTCACTGTTGCACTGGAGTTGGACAGAAGAATACGTAGTTCTGAAACTAGGATGCTTTGGTTCTTTGAAGCTGCTTTCATGTCTGCTTGTACTGAATCACTTGACTGTCACAGTCCAGATTAACTGGTTAGATTTGACCTTTAGTGCAACGGAGTTTTACTTTTTGGTTGAAAGTCTGTAACTTAGTAAAACACTGGTTCAGAAACTCACTATGCATAAAGAGAGAAGCTGTTCCTCTTATAGTTTTTTTTGTTTGTTTTTTTACCCATGCATCCAACACTTCTGCCAGACATGAGTCTCCAATGCTGAGTGGTGTGTAAGTTCTCTTGAAACAGGTAAGCTGTGAACTCTACCTGAACCTGAAGGCAGAGAGCTGGAGCTCAGTATTCTTAATTCCCCATGTTTGTAGGATATTTAAGGCTATGCCCTCCTAGGAAGTCACTTATCTTTTTGTTTTAAATAATACTCAGTGTGATGCAGGTTTCTCTCAAGCACTTTCTTTAAAACAAATATACTCACTGCATTAGATTAGTTCCATTTCACACAGCTATAGAATTGCATAATAACATCTAGTACTAGAAATGAAGTTTTGGGTTGGTTTTGATAGTTCAAAGTCGTACTTTGTATATTGTTCAAGTTTTAAATACGTAAAATATCAGTGGTCTTAAGGAATCTTTAAAGTAATTTGCTAAATATTTTGATTCTGCAGAAGAACAACTAATAAAATCCTGAAATATAACTCCCAGTGTCACGGTTCCCATCTCATGCTCTTCGGCTCCAGCAGATGAAGAATTTGCTGGATCCTGCCTGCTCCTGTGCTGCCTGCTCCTGTAGGCATGCATGAACAATGTCTTTGTTGGGCAGAACAACTAGAGATCTCCAGGCAGATGGCTACAGTGGTGGAACGTGCTGCTTTTTTCTGTGGCTTATTTTTGTTTTGTTGCAAAAACCAAGCCTAGGGATCCAAACTCATGTTAGAGCATGGAGGTGGGAGCATTGGACTTTGTGAGGGGAAAATGGCTCAGCTCGTTGCCTCAGTTAAGGGTTTTCAGTAGGAGGTTTTAGCTCATCAGGACCCCAAAGGAGATTATATTTGTCTCCATTATGCTGTTAACTTTATATGACCAAAACATCTTATTTGAGTCTAGTGTTAACTCCTGGAATTCTCTGTGAGGTGCTCAACTATGTTAATTACATACCTTTACTTAAAGCAAAATTATGCTGAGGAGCGATGTAGCTGGCAAGTATCTAGGAGGTGTGGAGATGGATGACGAGTTAGGACCAGGGCAGACTGTCTTGCATCGTATCCTGTAGCATTAAGCTTCACCAGCTTATAGTGGTGGGGCTGAAATTAAAACTTGTCTAAGAAGGACATTCAGCAGTTGGTGGGTCAGCAGCTTCTGCCTCTGAGGATACAGATAAAACAGTTGCCCAGCTTTCCTTCCCAGGTGAAAAATGTGAAAGTTTGAAACAAGTAAATGGGGTTCCTGATTAGTCAGAAAAGCTGGAAAACAAAACTCAAACTGCTTTACTGTCACTGCTGAGAGCATTTGGTTGTTTGCTTGTTTCTGTTTTCTCAGAATTAATATCCAAACAAGTCCCTGTTTGGTACTAGACAGTCCTTAGAGGGCAAGAAGTCTTGCCAGTGAAGAAACAACTATTTAGACCAAACCTCTGAATAAAATAATGTCTTTGGTTGCATTAGTGTGTTAAGTTTTTTCACAGTTCCCCCCACTACAGTAACCACTCAGTTTATGTAGACTGCTGTAGAGGTGAGAGCAGAGAGGTGAAGATGGGAAGTGATACCTGTAAAGCTGGTATCCTCCTTCCAGAGAGACATATCCATCTGTGTCTTCCCTGGTGGTGCTGCTCTTGCTTCACCAGTAAGTTTTCTGGATTTATGTCTGTAATGGGTTTCTGTGGCCAGATTTTTGTAGCAGAGGAGCTACAGGAGTGGCTTCTGTGACAAGATACCAGAGGTTTTCCCCATGTCCAGTAGAGCCAGTGTCAGCCAGCTCCAAAATGGACCCGCTGCTGTCCAAAGCTGAGCTGACAGTTTTTGAAAAGGGAAAAAAAACTGCTGTGAAACAGCAGATAGAGGAGTTGAGAATATGTGAGAGAAACAACCCTGCAGACACCAAGGTCAGAGAAGGGGAGGAGGTGCTCCAGGTGCTGGGGTAGAGATTCCCCTGCAGCCTGTGGAGAAGACCATGGTGAGGCAGGCTTCCCCCTGCAAGACTATGGAGGTCCATGGTGAAGCAGATATCTACTTGCAGCCTCTGGAGGACCCCACGCTGGAGCAGTCTGTTCCTGAAGGACTGCACCCCGTGGAAGGGACCCACACTGGAGCAGTTAATCATAGAATCATAGGGGTTGGAAGGGACCCCTGAAGACCATCAAGTCCAACTCCCTTGCTGCAGCAGGAACACCCAGGGCAGGTCACACAGGAACGTGTCCAGATGGGTCTGGAAAGTCTCCAGAGAAGGAGACTCCACAACCTCTCTGGGCAGCCTGTCCCAGGGCTCTGTCACCCTCACAGGAAAGATGTTTCTCCTCATGTTGAGGTGGAACTTCCTGTGTTGTCACTTGGTGCCGTTTCCCCTCTTCCTGTCACGGGCACCACTGAACAGAGACTGGCCCATTC